GTCAGTGTATTTTGTGTGGCTTGAGTGTCTAAGGACACAAATGCCCCCTCAAGGTGGTGCAGGGAGGGCCCAGTGTCTGGAGTCTCACTGGGGCCTGTGGGTAAGGGCTCATGAAAATGCAGTAAGAAGCTCTCAGGAGCCTCTAGGGTGAGAGATGTAAGGATTATGATGGATTGCACTACCCTGAATCCTGGGTAACTACAGAATCATCATTGCAGTTACCAGAGCCTTCTGAAGTGAGGGCAGCATGGGTCAAATGACAAAATGTACTACCCATAATTCTTGGGGACCTGCAGCTTGCAGAGACCTCTGCAGAGAGGGCTATACTGACAAAAAATCAAACTATGCTACCAATTACTTTTGGGTGCCTGCTTTGCCCAAGAGCCTCTGGGGTGAGAATTGCAAGGGCAGAATACCAGACTTCAATGCTCAGAACTTCTGGGAATGCCTACATACCCTGTAACCCTGTAAGTCCCAGAGGTTTCCGTGGTGACAGTTGTATTGGTAGAACACACTACCTAGAATCTCTAGGGTACCAGGGAAAGCATGGGGTCTTCAGCTCCTGTGATCCTCAGCAGGACTGTGCAGGCAAACCCTAGACTGCATTATCCAGAACCGTCAGGGACTGCAGCTCCCAGAATCCTCTGTGGTGAGTGGGCAAACTATTGAACTGCATTACTCACAATCCTAAGGGGGAATTTGAGTTTCAGAATTTTCTGCACTGAGTAGGAAAAACACAGGACTATATTATCAACAAATCTCGGTGTCAGCAGCTGTCAGGATCCTCTGTTGTGAGGACTGTTGGACTGAGAGCTTAACTACAGTGTCCAGAATCCTTGGTGAGGTGTGTTTCCCAGGTGAGTATGCAGCCTGCAACTCCCAGAGGCCTCCCAAGTGAGAGCTGTGCATTATGCAGGTCAGACTACACTACCTACAATTCCTGGGGACACACTGGTGAATGTGCTGCCCGCAATTCCAGGAGGCTTCCACAGTGAGGTCTTCAGTACCAAGGCAAGCATGTGGCCTTCAGTTCTCATGGCCCTTGCAGTAAGGGCACGTAGGCAAAACACTGGACTACCTTATCCAGAATCCTCAGGGGGGAATCGCAGTTCCAGGATCTGCAATAGTGAGGGCTACAGGATAGGGAGCTGAACTACACTACCTAGAATTCTTGGACGTGCCCATGTTCATGTAGCCTGGAACTCTCAGAGGCTTCCACAGTGATGGCTATGGAGGCAGAAGACAGGACTATGCTACCCAGAATCCCTGGGGGTCTGCAGCTCTGAGACACCTACCTTTTGAGTACTGCCAGGCAAGCTTTGTATTGCACTACACAGACTCCCAGGGGTGTCTAGGCAGGCTTGTGCTACACAGATCCCAGAGCTTTGATGGTGAAGTCCACTTAGGTAAGATGGACTGCACAACCAAGAATAATCAATGGCCTACAGCTCTCAGAGACCTCTGTGGTCAGGGCTGACTGAGTAGAACTGACAACCATACTCAGAATTCCTGGGAGCTCTGAGCTCTAAGTAGTCACTGTAGAGTTGATCATAGCACCAGGCTATAATACCCATGATCCTTGGGGGCTTGCAGCTCCAAGAATCCACTGTAGTGATGGCTGCATTGGCAGAACACCAGACTAAACTGTCCAAAATCCCTAGGGATGCCTGAGTGACTGTGTAGCCTGCAGTTTCTAGAGACCTCTGCAGGGGGTGGGGGCTGCATTATAGAGACTGGATTACACTGCCCAGAATTCTGGGTGGGTGTATGAGGGTGAATGTGCTACTTGAAGCACCCATAGGCTTCTGGAGTGAGCGCTGAATGGCCAGAATGCCAGACTACACTCTTCAGAATCACTAGGGGTGCCTGAGTAGCCTGCAGCTCACAGAGACCTCTGCAGCTGGGCTGCATTGTAGAATACAAGACTGCACTTCCCAAAATCCTGAGGGTAGCAGGGTAAATGTGCTACTTGTAGCCTCTAGGCTTTTGGGGTGAGGGCTGCATGGGTAGAACACCAGAGTCCACTGTCAGGGTCCTCCAGGTTGCCTGGTCCAGCACATGGCAAATAGCTTCCATGGTCCTGAAGGGCAAAGACTGTGTGAGCAGAGCACCAGACTACATTGTCTAGAATCCCTGAGAACCCTGAATCTGTGTAGCCTGCAGCTCCAAGAGGCATCTATGGTGAGAGCTGGACAGGCAGGACAGACTGAACGACCTAGAATGCTCTCAGAGTCTACTGGGAATTTGGTCTGAGCTCAGGTTCTTCTACCCTCCTACAGTGGTCACCCTGGGCTGGGAATTAACAGATTTTTTTTAAAAATCCCTGATTCTAAAATGGGGCAGACCCTGGCTAAGTCACTGTCTCAAAGACTACATGTCCCAGAAGCCTTTGTGGTGGTCTCTGCCCTCGGGTGCCTGAGTGAGGGTCTAGACTCCCTGTGGAAGCCTCCCTCTGTTCCTCTGCCCACCTGGCTCAGCCTGCTGCAGCCCTTGGCCTGGTGGAGTGCAGGGAGGGGGTTTCCTGGACTCCATTTCTTCTCTCCTGAGATTCCACTCTTCATGGTGCCACAGCCAGATCTAGTTATAGCAGTGGGAACAGATTTTATTCAGTAACTGCTGAGGGTGGAAGAAGGTGCTGACATTCACCAGGGAGCTGGGAGAGGCCCCGCCTCTGAGCTTTGACGGGTGTGGTCAAGAAGGGGTGGGGCCTCACCGCCATCTTTAATGCTGCCTCCCTGAGAGTGAGGAAAGCTGGCTTCCCACTCAGGACCAACCTGGGAGAGCCCCAGCTCACTGGAATATTGGGTCACTTCACAGAGAGGGGCAGAGCTCCCTTCTCAGAGCAGATTGAGAGAGACACCCAGGTTGGGGACCCTCGTGGGTCATGCCTCCAGGGACTCCCAGAGCTCCCTTCTCCTCAGAGCAGCCTCAGGGGACTCTTGGCTTAGAGACTTCGTGAGTCATGGCTCTAGGAATGCCTGGGGTTCCTTTGTCCTCAGAACAGCCTGAGGGGGATGCCTATCTTGGGGACTCTCATGTGGCATGTTTCTAGGGCTTCCAGGGTTTCCTGAGGGAGTTGCCAGGGTTGGGGACCCTCACAGATCATGTCTCGAAGTAGGCCTGGGGTTACCTTCTTAGAGCAGTCTGGAGGAGACGCCAGTGTGGGGACTCTCTTGGGTCACGTCTCTAGGGACGCCCAGGGTTCTCTTTTCTTCAGAGTGGTCTGAGGAAGACTCCTGGTCTGGGGAGCCTCATGGGTTGTGTCTGTAGGGACATCCGGGGTTCTGTTCTCCTAAGAGCAGCCTGAGGGAGATACCTGGTGTGGTGCAGCCCATTTTGTATTATAGAGACAGGGTTTCAGTGCATTGCTTTGTGCCTTGCTTTTGCTGAGACTGGTTTTGAACTCAAGATCCTTCTGTCTCAGCCTTCTGAGCCTCTTAAGTTTAAATATATTACTTCTAACAAAGCCAGAATTTATTAAAAATACATCCCCTGTATTTTTAATAATGAACCACATTTTTTCTTTAATCTTTGCTTAGTTTAGTTTAATTTTTTTTTTTAGTTGTAGAAGGGCACAATACATTTATTTTATTTATTTTTATGTGGTGCTGAGGATCAAACCCAGTGCCTCACACATGCTAGGCAAGCACTGTACCACTGAGCTACCACTGCCACACATTTTTCTTTTGGTGGAAAGTTTAATTAGCAAGAAGCCACCCCTCCAGGACCCTCTTGCTAAGGCCTCCCCCTCCAGACCCTGCCACTTCTCCAGACCCCACCCATATTCTTCGGCCCTGCCTGTCCTCCTGAACCACCTTCCCCCTCCTTCCTACCCTGCCTCTCCTCTAGGTCCTAATCATGTTCTATGGCCTGTCCCTACCTCAGGTCCCATCCATCTGCCAAGCCCTGCCCCCTTGTGATTCATTCTCCCTCTCCTTCAGACCCTTTCTCTCCTCCAGATCTTTCCCTTCTTCCTGTCCTGCTCCTCTTGCAGACCTCACCTTCCTCTCTCTCTTTTTTTTCATTTTTGTTTTTGCACATGGACACAATGCCTTTATTTTGTTTATTTATTTTTATGTGGTGCTAAGGTTTGAACCCTAGCCTCAACATGCTAGGCAAGTGATCTACCATGGAGCCATAACTCCAGCCCAATCCTCCTCCTCTTTAAGACCCTGCCTCTTCTCCAGACCCCGCCCATCTTCCAGGCCCCCTCCTCCTCCTGACCTTCCCTCCACCTCTTCCAGACTCTGTTCCTGCTGGTCTAGGATGAGCAACTCCCTGGCTGCTGTGCTAATTGGCAGTATATTTGAAATGGTGTACAAATAACGTTCGTTGTATAAACACTGACATCCTGCATTGGATGAATTATCTTGACTATATCAGAATTTGATATACCATAAAATAACTTTAGAAAAGTCACCTTTCTGTATAGATCATGAACATTTGAAATAAAATCAGAATTTGTTAAAGGGCAGATGACAGTCAGCCTTGAACCCTGATGATCCCAGGATCCCATCCCTTGGGAGGACTCTAAGTAGCAGTCCAAGGTTTTGTATGCTAATTGATTCATTTTCTTATTTTAGACTTATTTTGTAATGTAATTCCCTATAGCCTCCAGGTATCCAGTTCTGGGCAGTAGGATTTTCCAATTCAATTCTTGATTAATATTCTTTCAGTTTTCTACAGAATTTTTAAAAATATTTTTAAGTTGTCAGTGGATCTTTTTATTTTATTTATTTATATGTGGTGCTGAGGATTAAACCCAGGGCCTAACACATGCCAAACAAACGATCTGCCTTTGCACCACAAATCTAGCCTTTAATAGAATTTTTAATTCTGTGAACTTCTATTTTTTATAAGGAATGTTTTAAAAATTACTTTTAGCTTACTTTGTTTTTGATTGAGAGAATTGGCTTGTTTGAGAGAATTGTATTGTTTGAAAATGCTCATAATCAAATGATTTTAATTAATTTCCACTTATTAAGGTATCTTTGGAGACCGATGTGTAGCTCAGTGGCAGAGCACTTGCCTGGCATGTGAGAGGCCATGGAGTCCATCCCAGGACCATACACACAGAAGATGTCTTTGACAGGACTCAAGCATGAGAGGTATGCTTTAAAAAGATCATGTATTGGGGCTGGGGTTGTGGCTCAGTAGTAGAGCAGTCACCTACCACATGCGAGGACCTGGGTTCGATCCTTGGCACCACATAAAAATAAGTAAATAAAACAAAGGTACTGTGTCCAACTACAACTAAAAATAAAGATTTTTTTTTTAAAAAGGTCATGTATTTCCATATATATATATATACACACACACCACAGTGCCTCTTCCAAATTCATATGAAATTATTCTAAGAAAATTTCAAATCAGTTTTAAAAGAGAAGAGGGATGATGATATTTTTAATGTCAACTATTGATATTTCATGATATTTATAACCACTATAGATGAAATTTCCAGAGATGCAAATCATTACAAAATGTAAGAGACAAGTCAGTAGCTGCTTTTTTGTAATTCAGATACATTTTCTAAAAATAAGGTTTTTTTAAAAAAGATATTTTTTCTTCTTTAAAATTTAGAAAGCATGTCCATATGTCCTATTACAGTTCTACATTCATCAGAAAGTTCTCTTATTCCTTGCATACAAAGGGATGGGCCTTCTAATGAGCATGATACTTTATGTTGTCAGGAATTCTTGTGGGAGAACTCTTTAAGTGTTTTGCCTCTGTTCAAAATATTATTTAAAAATGTATCAATTTGCTTTTGATTTCAGAAATTTGACTTTCTTTAGAAATTAGGTATTTATTAGTATTTAGGGTTATTTCATGTGGGAAATGCCGTGATTACATTTTATCCTAATGTTATCCTAATGTTGTGTTAATAATTTCCTAAGCTATATTATGTTCATTTTTCTTACCAACAGTCAATAAAGCCTTTTGTGTTGTTTTGATGGTATTCTTAATGTGAACATGCTTTATGATGTGACACCACCGTTCATGATGGTCTAGGTATGCAATACACTATAAGGAGAGTATTTTGATTCTGAGAGTCTCAAGTGTTTTAGGTCCAACATGTTTCCTTAAGAGGAATGATTATTCATTTTCTATTTGATTACACAAATAAGACACAAATTCTTTTTTTTTTTTTTTCCTTTTGTGGTTCTGGGGGTTGGTCCTAGGGCCTCCTGCATGCTAGGAAATCTTTCTACCACTTAGCTACATCCCAAGCCCCATAGATCCTTTAGTTGTCATTAGCTTCATGATGAGCTAGTGACAATAAAATTACTTAGAGTTTCAACTAGATTTAGACTCATGCAAGAGTTTGGGCATCCATAGCTCCTTGTGATTTCTAAAAGTTAGAGTGTTTTCCCACAACACAGAAGCATCTATTATCACTCCTGGACTGAGTTGACACCTCTGCTTCTCTTGGCTCACCACTTTCTGTAGAGGTCTTGGAGGAGATAGACATTCTTTGACTATTTGTCCCAGTGACAAATATTTGATTATATTGCTGCTAAAAAGTATGTATAGAAATAAAATAGAGACAAGGATTCTTTGGGATAAGTGATTCAGTCACAGTGAGTCAATTTGTATTAGGACTTTTTTAAAAATAAAGTCATTCTTTAGGGAAAGTTAAACCATGAGTTGAAATAGAATCTCTAAAATGTCATTTTTTTCCCCTGTAGTGATCATGTTTTAAGAAGGAAAACCTTGAACCTAGTGACAGCATAAAAATATAATAAGTTAACATATGTTATTACTTCAACATGAAATATGTAAAAGAGGCACATACTTTGAATTTTTTAAAAGTTTTTTTTAGTTGTAGTTGGACACAATGCTTTCATTTTCATTTATTTATTTTTATGTGGTGCTCAGGCTCAAACCTACCACTTCACACATGCTAGGTGAGTGCTCTACCACTGAGCTACAACCCCAGCCCACATACTTTGAATTTTATATTAGTTTGAACTATTTGATTTTTGTGTTATAAATGTTCATAATAAAATACAGCTAAGAGTGTCAGTTACTAGTAATTAACTGTATGAATAATTAAACAAGTTTGAGAAAATATAACCATGTCCTGAGGTTTTACTTTAGAATAGTTTAATCTTTTTTGGGGGATGGTACTGGGGATTAAATCCATGGGCGCTAACCCTAATCCTTTGGCCTTTAATATTAATATTTACCCATACTGTTGCATCAAAAAGTGATATAATAACTGCCCTGTGGACTTTAATACTAGTATAAAATCAATACTATAAAATGTAAGTGATATAAATGCTACCTTGTGACTTCAAATACTTACATGATATCCATCTATTATAAAATTGATAAAATATCTTCCCTGTGGCAATTACTAATGTAATATCCTTATTCTAGAATCTAAAGCTAATATTGTAGCAGGAAAGTGACATTTAACATCAATGTGGTATCAATAGTATAGCATGACAAACTAATATAATTGATTCCCCGTGGAATTTAATACGAATATAATATCCTAGTATACCATGTAAAATAAATATGATAGCTCTACTGTAGCCTTTAATACTGATGTTATGTCCATTCTATAGTATTTTATAGTAATATATTAGCTGTCCTGTGGACTTCATACCAACATGATATCCATATTGTAGCATCTAATGCTAATATAATAATATCTTCCCTGTGGCCTTTAATATTTACCCATACTATTGATATTATAATGTAATATCCAGATTATAGCATCTAAGACTAATATACTATCTGCCCAGTGAATTGCAGTAATAATAAAATCTCCACAGAGTAGCACATAAACTTAATATAAGAGCTGTTTTGTGTCTTTTCATGATAATATGATATCTACTATATGCAATCTAAAAGTAACAGTAGCTGACTTTGGTTTTTAATATTAATGTAATATGCATACTATAGCATCCTAAAGTACTATAGCAGCTGCCCTGTGGTTTTTAATACCTTTATAATAGCCATACTATAGCACATAAATTCAATATAATATCTGAATTTTGGTCTTTACTACTAATATCTGCCGCAGTCTGGCTGGGCACAAATCACGAGCCACTGAAGCAGGAACAAACTTTATTTTTAAACTGCAGGAAAACACTTCACACAGCTCCCGGGGAATCCTCCCGAATGCGCCAGGAGGCTTGAACAGGAACCCCCAGCCGGAAATATCTCTCCCGGAAATCCCTCCTCCTGCACTTCCCCAACCAATGGGAACCATATCCATATTATGGCATCTAAAAGTAATAAAATAGGTGCCCTGTGGCCTATAAATGTCATATGATAGCCATACTATGGCATCTAATACTAATATAATAGCTGACCTATAGCCTTTGACTTTAGTATAATATCAATACTTTGTCCTCTGAAACTAACAGAATAGCTGTCCTGTAGCCTTTTAATACTAATTTTATCCATATGTAGCATCATTATAGTCTCCATGTAGCCTTTTATTCTAATATTATATTCATACTGTAGACTCTAAAATGAATAAAATAGCTTCCTTTTGGCCTTTTAGCATATATTACATAATAGATGATTTCTGGCTTTAAATATTAATATTATATCTATAAATATAGCATCTTAAATTAATATTACATATATCCTGTGTCCTTATGACAAATATTATATCCATACTGTTGGATTTAAAACTAGTATAATAGATACCTTGTGGACTTTAATACTAATATGCTAGCCATACTGTAGCTCCTAAACTTAATATAGTAGCTGCCTGGGCCCTTTAATATGATATGTAATATGATAAACATATTGTGCTCTTTAAAACTAAAGTAATAACTGCTCTGTGGCCTTTAGTGCTAATATAATATTTATAATACACCATGTAAAACTAATGTAATAACTTCCTTGTGTCCTTTAATATTGATAGTGTAGCATCCAAAACTAATATGATAGCTACCCTCTAGATTTTAATATCATAATATTCATACTGTGACCTCTAAATTTAATACAATAGCTGTCTTGTGGCCTTTATTACTGGTATGTTATTCATACTATAGCATGGAAAACTGATTAAATAACCATTCTGTGGCCTTTAATATTAATATGATTTACATATTATAGCAAAAAAAACTGATATCAGAGGTCTTTATTACTAATAGATGCAAGCTATAATATCTAAAACAAGTAAGTAGCTGTGCAATAGAATTTAATACTAAGTCACATCCATGCTAAAGCATGTTAAACTAATAGCTCCCCTGTAGCTTTTGATACTAATATTATAGCCTCCAAAACTGATGTAATAGATGTCCTGTGGCCTTTAATATTAATGTTACATCATTCCTATAACCTGTGAAACCAATTTAATAAGTTTCTTATGAAATTTAATATTCATTTAATATCCATATTATAAATCTAAAACTGATAAACAGGTGCTCCATATAAAACTGGTAAATAGGTCCTATAGTATTAATATGATATTGTATCACCTTAAACTAATATAATGTTAGCTTTGTGGCCATTAAACTAATATGATATTTATAGGATAGTATTAAAATCAATAAACTGCCATGTTGACTTTAATGCTAACATGATATCCATACTTGAGTATCTAATAGTACATAATTATTGATCTGGAGTGTTTAATTCTAATATGATATTCATATTGGAACATCTGAAACTGATGCAATAGTTGCCCTGTGGCCTTTGATATTTATATGATATCCATCCTATAGTATCCAAAGCTAATAAAATATATTAGCTACCCTGTGGCCTTTAATATTAATATAATATCCATACTACAGCATTTAAAATAATAGATGCACTGTGGCCTTAATACCATATAATTGGTTTGGATATGCTCATGTGTGAGACAATGTAAGAAAGTTTAAAGGTGAAATGATGGGTTATGAGAGCCTTAACCCAAATTAGTAATCCTCTGATAGGAATTAACTGAGTGGAAACTGCAGGCTGATAGTGTGTAGCTGGAGGAGGTGGGTCATTGAGGCAATGCCTTTGGGGTACATATTTGGTGAGCTGCACCTAGGTTCTCTGCTTCCTGATCACCACTTTCCTTCACCACACTCTTCTGACCCACCTTAAGCCCCAAGGAATGGAGTTGGCCATCTATTGGCTGAGATCTCTGAAACTG